GAGAGAGAAAGAAAGAAAGAAAGAAAGAAAGAAAGAAAGAAAGAAAGAAAGAAAGAAAGAAAGAAAGAAAGAAAGAAAATAGATTAAATGTGATTTTGATATTTTTTTTTATTTCTTTACCAGGGAGGCTCAAATATCTTCATAACAGTAAAACAGAAGAAACAGTACCGTGCACTGAAGAAGCTGATGTATGAGGACTCTCAAAAACCAGTACCTCGCCCAGGAGTAAGAAAGCATCTAGATTTTTTTTGACGCTTCTAAAAAAGTTTCATATATATTTATCTTTAAAAAACATACATGTGTTTTTAAAATTCTTAACAAAAATTGCTTTTGACAAAAAGTTTTAAAATATGTCTCCTGACAAAGCTTTTGATGGTCTTTTTGTCTGTTTTGACTATAAGCTATAATTATAGTTTGGCAAAAACACTTATTATTTTATTTATGCCGAGGAAAAAGTTGTAAATCCAAGGACTCTGTGTGTGTGTGTGTGTGTGTGTGTGTGTGTGTGTGTATGTATGTATCCTATTACTTTGATTATTGCTCTTTTTTTCTTTTTTTTTACCCACAGAACAAGTTCCAAGGATTCATCTTTGACTTAGTAACAAATCAGATTTTTAATATTATCATTATGGCTCTTATCTGTTTCCAAGCAATAGCCATTATGATACAAAGTGATGAACAGAGTCCCAAAATGGATGCTGCTCTTTACTGGATTAACTCAGTTTTTGTTATGCTGTACACTGGAGAATGTCTCCTGAAACTCATCTCTTTCAATTGTAACTACTTCACCATCGGATGGAACATTTTTGATTTTATGGTAGTCATTTTCTCCATCACGGGTAAGATTTAATTTAGTCATATTTTCATTTGTAGTAAAATTAATTCAAACAGACTCTTATTAAAATGTCTCCTGAGATATAGCCTCTTAGTAAGCAAAACAGGTAGGGACCTTTGCTATTGCCAACAGAAATGCTTTACATTTTTGCATTCATTCATTTGCATATACCTGACCCATGAAAGATATTCAAAAATACTTTTTGAATTAATACATAGACTTTACTTCACAGACCACCAGATAAATACTTAATTATCCCGTCAGTATTATCACCTACACATTTTTTTTTAAGGATGACAGTAGAAGGATCTTTATATCTTAGAATGATATAACCTTTCAAGCTCACTATTTTCCTCTTCCTCTAATCTCTAAAACCGTTTCTAACTTTCGCAACACTAGAGTTTAAGGCTGTAATGAATTGGTCACTAGTTTTACTCTGGAGATGTCAGTGTTTTCTTTAACCAATACATTTGAATACCCTCTTTGTGAATAGATATTATGTATGCTACATGCAAAGAATTCAGTAGTAAATAAGATAGGCATAATTCCTGCATACACATAGTTTATAATCTATTAAGGGATACATGTAATTAACAATGCATTTTAATGTTGTGCTATGAAGGGTGTGATAAAGGAAGAAGCACAGGGTGCTATGGAGATGCAACAAAGTGAGAAGCACCTAATCAGTGAGTAAAGGTCAGAGAAAAACTTTGTGGAAGAAGCAAAAATCTATATAGATACCTATTGGATAAGGAGGTAGTCAAATAATCTAGGATAAAAGTGTTTTTAGGCAGAGAAAAGTTTTTTTTTTATTGTCTGCTTCCCATAAGACACATTATAGATGTAAGATCCATGAGAATAAGGACAATATTTAAGTGTTTATTGTCAAATACTATTCTATGTAGTAAAAAATGTAGATAAACTGTCTGTCCAGCTTTGCTTCCAGAAAATTCATTCATCCAGTTAGCAGTGGAAGCAGTGTAACTAACTACAGATAGACAAGTTCAAGAAGCTCGATAGAAAAGTACATAAAGACAAGAGTGGGGTGATAGGAAGATAAAAGAGGAATATGGAATTAATGAGCCCTATGAGACTGAAGTGGGAGTTACTGAATCAGAGATCTGGAAAGAGGAAATTGCAGTTAGAGAGAAAGCTGAATTTGAGATCTCTGAAAGTCAGGTACCCTGCCTGGGTCCAGAATATGGCCAAAGATGTGTATGACTAAAGTAAAATAATAGAGATGATTAAAGATAAGAAAGCCAAAGACTGAGAGACTGGCCTTTGAATGGGTTGTTGATTTTAGGTGCTGGGATGGAAAGAGCAACATGAGACAAGTACTAAAGACGGAATGAAGAATAAAATCATAGAGCCAATAAATTAGGAGATGGTGTAGTTAAATGGCATGATCTTCAAAGTATCTGAAATTTCTTTTTTTTTTTTTCTTTATAAATATCATGGGATGAAAAGGTGTCTAGAAATCACTTTGGAAAGAAAAAGAGATGCTTGCTTATTCCATCTTCGTACTCTGAGAAATATGTAGTGGGAAGAATGAGCTGTCTGCACTTGAGAGTTTTGCAAGGGAAATTGTTTTCTCATGATAGGTTCAGATTTTAAATTAGAAAGGAAATGAAGAAAATTTAGTGGTGAGGATGTAGAAAAATTTGTTTATAAGTAAATGGGGATACCTCCTGCTTAATGGAGGAGTTTGGAAGATTGAAGAGAAATGAAAATTAAGCCAGAGTTGAAGTTTCACTGAAACACTGTGGAGATGAGAGTAGAACACAGAAATGCCATCATTGACAGTGACCAAGTTCAACAGAAATGTGAGACATGCTCTTTCCAGATTCAGCAAACATCATGTCATTTAGAAGCTTCATGTGATTCTCTCCTCCCTGACCATCTCAACTCAAAATGAACCACCTTCTCTCCAGTACCTCCAGAGAATATTTCTTATGCTTTTTATGGTGATTATAATCTCACATTGTTTTATAGTGCTATCTTGCACTTCCATAGTTCCCTCATTCACACACCACCTCCTGAAAAAAAAAAACCTCTAGGCAAAGACTCATTTATTCAGTTCACATTTAAAGTTCCTAAGGGCCCAAATACTACTTATTAAATAAATTAATTAAATTATAATCTGTGAGTCACTGAATGCTGGACATTTTTTGTAATTTATCAAGCAGGCTTTTCTGCCTTGCATTATAATTAGTTTAAATATCTACCTCTGTAAATTTGAGAACAGAAGTTATATAATTCATCTTTGCCTGTTTGCATGATACCTTTGTTAATTATCCAGTAAAGGTTGGATGGAACTAACTTTCTTGATCCAACTACAATCAGAAAAAAAATATGACTTCTGTCCTATGTTATGGATTCATGCCATTTGTGATTCCAGAAGTACTTGATCCATAATATTCCTAGAATGATAGTACAAACAATCCTCTTCAAATTTTGCTGGATACTCTGAGCATTGCCACAGATTGTATTTGGCCAACCCAAACTTTCAATATGTGCAAACTATTATATGAGAAGAATTAATAAAATGGTCCTAACATATAGAAAAAAAGTAAAATAAAAAATAATTTATATTTCTCTAAATACAATCAAATTTCAATAATTTTACTACTTGCTTTATCTTTCTCCACACTAAGGACTACTTCTGCCTTCGATGGTAGGCTACTATCTTGTGCCTCCTTCCCTTGTGCAACTGATACTTCTCTCTCGGATCATCCACATCCTGCGTCCCGGGAAAGGACCAAAGGTGTTCCATGATCTCCTGCTTCCTTTGATGCTGTCCCTTCCGGCATTGTTGAACATCAGCCTTCTGATCTTCCTGGTCATGTTTGTCTATGCCATCTTTGGAATGTAGAACTTTGCCTATGTTAAAAAAGAAGCTGGAATTAATGATGTGTCTAACTTTGAAACCTTTGGCAGCAGTATGCTCTGTCTTTTCCAAGTTACAATATTTGCTGGTTGGGATGGGATGCTCAATGCAGTCTTCAATAGTAAATGGTCTGATTGTGATCCTGATAAAATTAACCCTGGGACTCAGGTTAGAGGAGATTGTGGTAACCCTTTTGTTGGGATTATTTACTTTGTCAGTTACATCCTCATATCATGGTTGATCATTGTAAACATGTACATTGTTGTTGTTATGGAGCTTTTAAATATTGCTTCTAAAAAACAAACCAAGGCTTTGAGTGAAGATGATTTTAGGAAATTCTTTCAGATATGGCAGAGGTTTGATCCTGATAGAACCCAGTACATAGACTCTAGCAAGCTTTCAGATTTTGCAGCTGCTCTGGATCCCCCTCTTTTCATGGCAAAACCAAACAAAGGCCAGCTTGTCGCCATGGATCTTCCCATGGCTGTTGGGGACAGAATTCATTGCTTTGACATCTTACTTGCTTTTTCAAAGCGAGTTATGGGTAAAGATACAAAGATAGAGAAAGTTCTATCGGAGATGGAATCAGGGTTTATGTTAGCCAACCCGTTTAAGATCACATATGAGCCAATTACAACTACTCTGAAACGAAAACAAGAAGCAGTCTCAGCAACCATCATTCAACGTGCTTATAAAAGTTACCGTTTGAGGCAGAATGACAAAAATACATCAGATATTCATATGATAGATGATGACAGGGATGGTCAGGCTATCTAAGAAGATGCCTATTTTGATAAAGCTGAAGAAAAAACTATTCAAAACTAGATCTAATCCCACTTACCACCTTTTCACTTTCTTCACATATCCCCCAAGTGTTAAACGTTTAAACTAGAAATAAAAGCAAAAATTAGAGAAAGTAGAAATTTCACTTGATACTTGTTTACAACTCATGGAAGTTAAGCTTGTTTTCACAAGACTCTGTGTCAAATTCATTTTTTAACCCTATATATTTAGTGTAACCAGTACAATCCTTTAAACTACTGCAGTGGTTAAAATTGCCATTTGATAATCTGTTGCTTGTTTTCTCTATACAGTTTATGTGGTATGTGCTTCTTCTGGAGAATGGGGGGATAGTGATAGAGATTAGCAGCAAAAGGGCTTCTTTGTAATATTTTATGTGTACTTTAACTTGATGGGATTCAAGTCCCCACTTTCTTAATGTAGGATAGTGTTTAAAAAAACAGTACCATGCTACAGGCCATTAAATTATAAACTTGCCTTGTCAGGTGCCAATTGGGGGAAGAGGAAGGGCAGTTCTTAGAAAGTGCCTTTGAGATCAATCACAGAGACCCTTGGGCTAAATAAAACCACATTTGAAAAGACTAATTGAAGCTCTGTTTTTTGTTTAGTTTGTTTTTATTTTCTTTTATTTTTGGTATGAGGAATTAACGTTTCATTGTTCCTGGATTCTTGGTTTCTTATCTATGGCTAGTTCCAGCTAGCTCCAGTTCTTTAATAGAATCGCTTTGTAGAACAAGAGTAATAAAGGGAAAACACTTAAGACCTAGGTGTTTTTCATTTTTCTCATTTACATTTTTAAAGTATACATTTACTAAAATGATATAGTAGGGAATATTTTAGTAGACTCAAGTTTAATCATAAAACTGATGTGCTTTTACCATTTATCTATGTCAGTATATAAGATCTGGCAAATGCATATCATAATATGAATTAGAAGAGTCAAGGGCTATCATTGTAGGGGTTTTCACAGTGTCTTGATCCTTAGTTGGGAAACTGTGGCCACTTTGAAGTATTTTTCACTGTACTTTATGATTCTTTATAATGTAGAGGAAGAAAATGACCACTGAAACTGTGAGGACTCTGATTTAGGAGATCAAAGTGTAAGCTCATTGTTGGTGGGGTTTTATAATATTAATATATGCAAGTTAGTTTTCACTTACTTTTATCTTTCCTAGTTTTTTTGTTTTTATCTCATTATATACATAATTATTCTGTAAAATGTTTTATGTTTGAAAACTTTTATTTTCACTATTGAAATTATTTTTAAAAGATAGGCACAAAGTTGTTTTTTGACATATTCATAAAAATGTCATATTCATGTAATTTGAGAATCTGAAATTTATTCTTTTTGTATGAAGATTGATTTCAATGTGCCTACAAAGTTCTAAAAGATTTAAAAGGAAAATATGTGTATTGTTGACTTAAATGACAAGTTTTCAATGTTGTATATATTCAATACCACTTAAATATCAGTAATTGTATTTTGTTATGAATGCATGATGTTGAGCCTTAACTATTATATTCCAACCATTTCTGCTCCTCAAAAATGTATTTAGCCTGACCAAGATGCCTTTGGGAGATCCTCTAAGCAAATGTAAATTCAGGATTCTGTTTCTTTCTTCTATAAGTGTTCCTTCCCCTCCCTTCTCCTCCCATTCTCCATCATGTGATGTGGTAACAGCTGGTACTTTATCTAAGCTTCTTAGTTTTCTATATCTTGGAAATGCTTTAATGTGAAAATTGCTTCGGAATTTAAACTGAATCTTAGCTTACTTCTGTAAATTCCGTAAAGACCGCAAACTGATTTTAGTTTAAAAATTATGTTTTACTCGTAACTTACTCGTGTTTGCCAAAATTGTGTAAGGAATTATTTTTAACAAAGTCTTACAGTGTAGTCTACCTTTTAGATACTGTAGAGAATAATAAATATAACCTGTTAACCACACTAAGCTTTGTTGTTTTTCCCCACCCCCCGCTTTGGAAAGACACGTTGACAACTTTCTATAATAAGAACTTTTTAAAATGAGCCTTACATTAAAGCTTATTCATTAGGGCTCAAAATTCAAAACTGGAAAAATTTATGCTTCCTTTGGATTCACTTAATTTGGTAAAATTAATGTTAGTGAGCTTACCAGATACCCCTACACACTGACAAAATGTAATAAGCACTCCTCTTATTGAGATCATAGGTTTACTAGATATATTTCAGTATTATTAGAATTTGCTTTATAGAAGATAATGCTTACATTAAAATTATTGGTATGCTACTATTTAATAATATCTGCTTCTTTAAAAAATTATTTCTGGTGTTTTAAATATAATATACTTCAAAATGATTTTAAAGTTATTGGAAATAACTGCCATTTATTGAGCAGACTGTTATGCCCAGCCTTGAGCTAAGTATTTATCATGCATGAGCTCAGCATTCACAACTCATGAAGCAATAATAATTCTCATTTTATAGATGAAAAATATTAGGCTTACACAATTATAGAAGCTGAGATATGCCACAGTATGCCATGTGCAAGCTGGAGAACCAGGAAAACCAGTGGTATAATTCAGTTCAAGTCTGAAGGCCTGAGAATCAAGGGAACCAATGGTGTAGCTCCCAGTCCAAGGCCTAAGAAGGTGAGGAGGGCACTGGTGTAAGTCCAGAATCTGAATATGAAGGCCCAGAAACCAGAAGCAACAATGTCCAAGGGCAGGAGAAGGTAAGTGTCCCAGCTCAAGAACAGATAATTCACCCTTCCTCCACATTTTTGCTCTATCCTGGCCTTTGGTGAATTAGATAATGCTTACCCATGTTGGCGAGGGCAATCTTCTTTTTCTCATCCTTTTACTTTAAATATATGTATGTCATTAAATTTGAAGTGAGTTTCCTGTAAGCAGTATATAGCTGGGTCATATTTTTTTTATCTACTTTTTATTAGTGTATTTAGATGATTTATATTTAAGGTATTTACTGATATGTTAGTACTTTAGGTTGCCATTTGTTATTTGTTTTCTATTTGTTCCTCTGGTCTCTTTTCTATTTGTTTGTTTATTTGTTTCTCTGTTTCTCTTTTCTTGCCTTTTTGCACAATATTTGAACATGTTTTAAGATTCCATCTTGATTTATCTATAGTGTTTTGAGTGTATCTCTATATTTTTGGTAGTGGTTATTCTGGGTATTACTATTGACTTATTAATATATCTATCTATTTATCTTCTCTCTCTCTCTATCTATTTATCTATCTATCTATCTATCTATCTATCTATCATCTATCTATCTATGAATTATATAGTCTACTAGTATCCACATTTTATCACTTTGAGTGAAATGTAGGAGCCCCATTTAGGTACCTGTTTTCTTCTTCATTTTTAAATATCATTGTCATGGAGATCAGATGATGATATAATTTTTATTCCAATCATCAAATATGGTTTTAAAACTCATGAAGAAAAGAGTTTCTTTTATGTACGCATATTTCTGCTTTTCATTATTCTTTTGTCTTTCCTGATGGTCCATCATTCCTTCTTTTATCAGTTCCTTTCTGTATGAAGAATTTTGTTTAGCCAATCTTTAAGAGTGAGATTTTATTTTTTTTAATATTCTTATATTTATTACATGTTGAAATGATAAAATTTTTGATATACTGGGTTAAACAAAATATATATTACTAAAATTTTTTAAAGAATGTGTTAGTAACACATTCTTTTAGCTTTTCTTCCTCTGATAATATTTTTACTTCTTTTTCATTCCTAAAAGATAAATTCACAGGTTCTAGAATTTGTGCTTGACAGTTATTTTCTTTTAGCACTTAGAAAATACTGTGCCACTTCCTTCTGGTTTCCATCACTTCAAATGGGAAATCCATTATTATTTGCATTGGTATCTGTATAGGTATTATGTCATATCCTTCTAGCTTCTTTCAAGATTTTTCTTTGTCTTTAATTTTCAAAATTTTTAATCGTAGTTTATCTTTGCCATGGATTTTTTTTGTATTTATTCCATTTAACATTATCTCAACTTATTAGAACTATAAGCTTGTGTCTTTTACCAAATTTAGTACATTTTTAACCAATATTTTTTCAGACAACTTTTTAGCCCCACTTTTTTCTATTTTCCTTCTGGGAGTGTGGTGACAAAAATACTGACTCTTTTGTTGTCCCACAGGTCTCCGAGGCTCTGTTTTTTTTTTTTTTTTTTCCAGTCTATTTTTTTCTTTCTGTTCAGTGTGAGCGAATTCTATTAATTCTATTGGTCTGTACTCAAGTTCGCTGATTTTCTCCACTGTTATCTCACTCTACTATTGAGACGTCTATTGTATTTTTTCACTTCTGTTATTGTATTTCTCCATTTCACAATTTAATATTTTTTCATATAAAATTTATTCTTTTGGAGATTTTCTATTTTTGTTTCAAGAGAATTTGTAATTATTGTTGAATTACTATTATAATGGATGCTTTAAAATTCTTCTCAGATAATTCTAACATCTGATCCATTTCAGTATTAGAGTCAACTGATTGTCTTTTCTCCTTCAGTGTGGTTTTCTTAGTTCTTGGTATGCTGGGTGATATTTTTTTCCTCTCGAAAATTTGCCTATCATGGTAGGAGATACTGGATCCTATTTAAATCTTTCATTTTAGCAGGTAGTCATACTGTTTAGGTTTAGCACATAGGTCTTGGCTTATTTTGAGGGGCTGTGGTTACCATGGAACCTTAATTTTCAGAGGCTTTGTGGAATTATTTTGGTCCTCTTGGCTTATCTGGTGTGGCTCCGACTCCCACTGGTCCCTGCTGGTGTTGACTGAGGGACTGAAGGAAGTTCCACAGGCCAAGCAATCTGGTTTCTCTCAGTGTAGGAGTGGGGGAGGGGCTAAGGAGAGGAATCCTCCACTGAAGACAATGAGGCTTTTGAGATTGGGCTACTTGTGGCTGTATCCTCCTTGCTGGCTCCACCCATCCATTTGTGTATTTCTGGGCAGGGAAGGACAGTCTCAGGCAGGCCTCTGGATCAAAGAGTCTTTCTGGATCAGACCACCTGTAGCTGGGTCTCTCTTGTCAGTTCCACCCACAGGTTTCACCAGGAAAGGGACAGCTCAGGCCCAGTAGAGAAGGAGAGTTCTTCCCCAGCCAACCTTATTTTTGGAAGGGCTCTCAACAAATCCTCTTTGTCAGTAGTGCAGGCTTGTCTAATGGTACCAGAGGGACTCCCTTTAGATCTAGGGGAAGAATAAGCCTACCTGGGCTGCCTTCTAATTTTAAATCAAAGGTGGGTGGCCTTCTGCTGTTGAATATTGGGATGCAAAATGTCCTTCTCTATGCTCTGTCTCCAGTCCTAGGGTCTCAAACCACCTTGCCTTTTCAGAGTCCCTTTTGGGTTGTCTTTTGTGTCATTTCCAGTTGTATTTAGCAGGGAAAATATGTAGTATGACATCTTGTCTAAACTAAAAGTCTCATAATGTATTTTTTAAAGGTGTATTAAAACTGTTTAAGAGAAAGTTTGCTTATGTAGAGTATCTCCTTTTCCAATATCACATAAAGGAAGCATCAGTTTAATTGGACAATTATATAAATATGGTATTAGTACAAATACTAAAAATTGCTAAAAATATTATAAAATTAGTACTAAATACTAAATATTAAAAGTAACATAAAATTATAATGTCACCATAGGGTACTTAGGATTATCATTATTAAGAAAACATTGCTATTTAACATAAAGAATAGAAAATAGTAATAAAAACAGAATTAGGCCATCAAAAATTATAATCAATTTTTTGCATGGATAAATCCAGATCTAGAGCACTGATTCTTAAGATGTGTTCCTCAGACTGGCAGTATAGGATCACCTGGGAACGTCTCAGAAGTGCAAATTCATTGACCCAACCATAAATTAAAAGCTGTGGAGATGGGGCCCAGACACCTGTGGTTTTTTTTTGTTTTTTTTTGTTTTTTTTTTTTTTTTAATAAGCCCTTCAGGTGATCCTATTGTACACTAAAATTTAAGAAACAATTTTCTAAATTTGCATTGCCAACACAGTAGCCACTAGCTACATGTGGCTGTTTAAGTTTAAATTAATAAGCAAATAAAACTAAAACTTCAGTTTCTAAATTCCATTAACCACATTTTCAAGTATTCAGTAAATAACTATGTCTAAAGTCTTCCATATTAGACAGCACAAACTTGTTATATATTCATCATCTCAGAAAGTTCTATTAGCATTGATCTAGGAATAAATAAATTTGTCAGAAATTAATATATTTATAACCATGAATCTTCCCTTTGCCCTGTCCAAACCACTCTCCATCCTTCTCCTTGCTCTGCTCTTTTAGAGGCTCACTCACAAGGTTGCTTCAATTAGTTCTTTTTTCCTCTGATTTCTGGTTGGGTTTAACCAATGAAAAGCATCAGAGTAAGTGCTTTCTCATTCCAGGTTAAGTTTCCACTTCTTACCTATGGCCACAAATTCTGTAGAGAATCCCTTCTTATACCTATATCTAGTCTCTAGGAAACTATAGTGACCACTACTTCCCACCGCCTTTTAGGCCTAGAAGCAGAATTCCTTGATTTCCTTAAACCTTGCCTATATCTTTTATAAACCCCTTTACTAAATTCTCCTTTTGTAATGTGACTTCTTTTTTTTTTTTTTTCTACAATATACCCTGATCCAATTAAATTTTTAGGCTTTTAATAGTTTTTGAAAAATAAAAGAACTCAAAATCTATGTCCTATAATAATTACTCCCAAAGTAAGCTTAAATCTCATTTCTCTTCATTAAAATCAAGAGGAAAAAAGAGAAAAAGATGAAAAAGAGAGAGAGAGAAGAAAGAAAAACTGTTTATCATAGGGTACATGCTGTGATACTTGTATTTACTATATTACATAGCTTGTAACCACAGCTGAGCTGATGGCTGTGGCACTGAGGACACAGGAATTAAGAGAAGAAACTTGATACTGA